AAATGTTTTGAGAATGATGAGGGCAATGAATGTACAAATGTGCTTTACACAATTGATGTATGTATGGATTGTGATGAGTTGCATGAGCCCCTAATAAAGTGGGGAAAAAAAGAACTGAGGCCTAGAAGTTAGGGAATATGGTTTGTGCTGCTCTTGCTGCTAAAAGATCATGAAATTTTCTAATATACTTAACCGAAGCTTCCTGCCAGCCCTTTTTACCAAGTGTTTGAAATAAGGCTACAAAATACTATTACTACATATTCTCAGATAAATACTTTTACTGACAAGAGAAATAAAATTCAACACACCAGTATCAGGCTTTACATTGCACTATGTCGTCCATGTTAATTTTGACATTAAAAAATGAAATCTATTTCCATTTTTAAAGTTTTCATAATAGTGTGAGCAGAATTGATACCATGTATTATTCACTTTTTGTTGTTGCTTCATAGTGCTTCATGTAATCTCGAGTAGGATTGTACTGGAACGTTTTTTAGCGGCTGATTTTCTAGAAGTAGATTTACAGGCTCTTCTCTCTGGGTGACTCAAAACTCCAACCTCCTGGTTGCAGCCAAGCACCACCCAGCGCATGTGTATCAAAAGCGTTCGACAGACTGACTCAGTCCCTCTTCTACTAGCCAGATTTCTGAGATGCTCACTTAATACAGTATCTTTCAAGTGGTGTTTGTAAAAAAGCTAGTGAGCTGTACTGTCAATGAGTTCATATCAGGGATTTCTAACTGGTTGGCACTGATTCCATTTTTTTCAGGTATCAGCTTCACAATGCTCTTAGCTTGAGGATTGTGAAAACTAGAGTTATACATGTTCTCACAATTGATTCTGACAGATGGTTGAAGAAAACTCCAGGTTTGCCTTGTGCCAATTTTACATAGAAAGCGACATCTGCTGGCTGTAAAGTTAAGTACAATGGATTTCCTATTTTCTTTATTCAATTTAATTTTCACAATTGTTACATAAAGGCAATCATAAATAAAACAAAAAATATCACACATCTATATCCTCTCAGATGAAGGATTCTTATGTCTCAAAGTTCACATCCAGCATGCTATAAAACCTAGCTGATTGGACAACACAGGTTTGAGGATGAGGAGATAATTAATTTTCCATGGACAGTTTCAATAGGTCAAGGCTAAGATACTTAGTTCTGTTTGTAGATGTACTAAAAAGGAAGTATAATAAAAAAAATAAAACAAGTAAATAACAGAATACTGCCATTCAAACAGATGTAGGGAAAGAGTTGTTCTCATGTTATACAGATTTCCTTTCAGGGATTAAAAGCCCAAGGTGAATAATTTTTTCAGCTTTAGTTCCTAACCTTAAGAAAGACCAATAATTATTTCAAATAACTCTAATTAGAGTTACTAGTAATTAAAAAAGGAAGGAGTTTTTGAGAAAAATTAATCTACATTCAAATATGTGTATAAATATTAAAAGGCTTCAACATATGAGGAATAACTGAGATGTAAGATCTGTTGAGTAGAGGACACTCAGGCATCCACCTGGGAACTCTTCCTGCATTATCAAGAGAAAACGAACATCTGAACTCTCATTTGACGTATGTTCTGTTTCTTCAGCATGGAACAGAATAAACTTACTGTGGAACTTCTGGAAGCTTTAATAATAGCAACAGGAAGAAGAGCGGAAGAGGATCTTCCCCTCTACTATTATCAGCAAGAAGCTGAAAAGGACACAGAAGTTGTGTCCATTTTGGATGATCTCCTATGACTCCTTTCTACTGGCCAAGGAAAGAGGCCATGGGGTCGTCTGGTCTCTGCCGTTTCATCCTGTAAGCCTCCATTTCTTCTTCCGTTGGTTCCCGGGCTTCATAAATACTATTGTAAGGCCGTTTCCGCTCATCGATTTGCATGGTCTCTTTTACATGAAGAAGACGGGCCTCTTCTGCATTCAGTGCCTGGAGTGAGAGGGAAAAATGAGGACCACCGCTTTACAGCACATCTCTCTTGCTCAAGAGAGGCAGAGTACCAAAAGATAGCCTGAATATGAACTACTACATCAAAACCTTGGAGGGCTTCAGTGAGTTTGGGAATCAGTCCCTCCACTGGTATGCTAGGGCTAAGGGCTGTTTATTCACTGCCATGAAGCTGATGCTGACTCACAGAGCTCTGGTAGCACAGCGGTTAATCACTGAGCTGCTAACTGCAAAGTGAGCAACTCAAAACAAGCTGCTCCTGGGGAGAAAGATGGGGCTTTCTATTCCCGTAGAGAGTTACAGTCTCAGAGTCCTATAGAGTCGCTATAAGGAGGGCTGTTCGGTTGGTACAATATTTTCGTAGTGCACAAAACAGTCTCTGCCATTTGTGGTCATTATTAATAAAATTCTGTTTAACAAGAAAAATTGAATGGAGTTCAATTTTTACTGATACAACCCTACAACTGATGCTTCTGGGAGACTGTAATTTGATGTTTCCCAAGAACTTAGTGAAACTTTAAAATGATAGTAGTTAGGAAGGTCATTTATTCCAGACAATATGTCAAGAACTCTAAAATAACAACTGCAAAACACGTTTCTTCTGTGCATTCAAACACAAGAACTCAATTCTTAGACCCACAAAAATAGCATTCTAATTGTTACCTGTTTACAACGAGTAGGTTTCAATTCCTATAGACGCCAGCAGTTCTCAACCTGTGGGTCGCGACCCCTTTAGGGGTCAAATGACCCCTTCACAGAGGTCGTCCTATTCATAACTGTAGCAAAATTACAGTTATGAAGTAGCAACGAAAATAATGTTATGGTTGTGGGGTCACCACCAAATGAGGACCTGTCTGAAAGGGTCGCGGCATTAGGAAGGCTGAGAACCACTGCTCTAGACCCGAGACAGAGCAGACCAACTGCCCCTTTGGATTTACTACACTGAAATCTTTACAGGAGGCAAACCACTTGATCTTTTCTCCTGTGGAGTGGCTGGGTGGGTTCTAACCTCTGACCTCTGGGTTAGCAGCCAAGTTCTTAACCACTGTACTACCAGGATGCCCTTATCTAATTCCAAACCTTCTACAGTGAGACTCTAGGGTTGGTTTTCTAAGAGAAGTCACTATGCAGACGCCACAAAGTACCTTTTTCAGTTTTTCACGTTTTTCCTCACTATCACTATCAGAACTGTTCTTTTGATGTTTCTTCTTCTTCTTCTTCTTTTTATCCTCTTTAAGTTTTTCCTGATGCATCTGAGAGGGAGGATTGAAGTACAGTGTTACAGATGTCAGAACAAAGTTCTGGGGTTAAATGGGAAAGCCCTCCCGCTTCCAGGATGTAAACATTCAGGCCGAATGAGCGGGACTTACCTCCATGAGGGTTTGAGGCTTTTTCACGGGCTCCTCTCCGGCATCATCATTTGGAAGACATTCCTCTGCATTCTGTGTAATGAGACAAAAAACCAGAATTTGGCTTGAGTGTTACAGTTATAATCATCAGAAGCAAAGTTAAAATTTGAAATATAAGATGTTTCATACAGCCTGACTTAGGAGTTTCAGAGTGTTTGACACACTTAAGAAGCAGGTGACAAGTACTCACAGCAATCTCCTTCCCAGCTTCTCCAGTACAATAGGAATACTTGACAAAAGAGTGACAGCATTTGTATCCCCATCGCCCTTCTTTCCAGTAAGATCCCCATATATGCTGCAAAGAGAGGCAATACGTTAAAAGAAATCTGTAAGTGGGTAAGAATACAAAACAACACAGTCCCTTTAGAAGGTAATGTAGAAGAGAAATAGTTGGGGTAACAGGCTGACTGAAAGGGAGAGGAGAGCTGGGCCTCAAGTGTGAGAAAAAAGCATTTTTGTTTCAATGGTCGTATATTCAATCCCCCCAAATATTTTAATACACACACACATACAAACAATTAAGTTTTCCTGAAAACTTCAGAAGGGTTGGGAAATTTACAGCCTATATTCCACATGGCATTTCCTAGCTTTTAAAATATCCATGGATGCCCCTACTAGGCAGAATCTGTGTTCTCCAGTTTGTGCAATTTGCCTGGTTCGCGTCACTCATACATGGGATAGCTTATATTAAAAAAAACCAAAAAGACCTCACTGCCATCCAGTCGGTGCTGACTCACAGTGACCCTACAGGACAGGGAAGAACTGCCTTGTGAGTTCCTAAGACTGTAACTCTTTATGGGAGTTGAAAGGCCCTTCTTTCTCTCACGGAGCGGCTGGTGGTTTTGAACTGCTGACTTGCAGTCGCTAGTAGTGCAATACGTAGCCACTACACCACCAGGGCTCCTAGCTCCTAGGGGTAATTGAATTTTTGACCTATGATTTATAAAGGCAATTAGTTTGTCTACTTCAACAGAAGAGCAATGGGCATTACATGCTTTCTGCTAAGATGGCATATGAAGTATCATATATAACCTATGAAGTATCATTGTAAAAAGTGATGAACTGATATCTATTTAATCAAGTCTTTAGACCTAAATTCCAATTCATAACTTATGATACTATAAGGAAATAGTCAAATACAAGACATAGGAGTCTTTCAAGGCAATGAGACTGACCTTTTCAACGATCAATTCCAAAAAGGAGAGGGAAACATTTAGAAAACAGGGACTAGAAAGACATAATATCCAAGTAATAACTAAAATAAACTTTCTAATCGATCCTGACTTGAAAAATAAAGAGACATTAAGAAGACATCTGAGGAGCCCTGGTGTGGAATGTTTACATGTTGGGTGGTTAACTGCCAGGTCAGCAGTTCGAAACCACTCCTTGGGAGAAAGACAGGGTTTTCTACTCCTGTAAAGTTGTAGTCTTGGAAATTCACAGGGCAGTTCTAACCTGTCCTGTGGGGTCACTATGAGTCGGCATTGAATGGCAGCAGTTTGGTTTGGAAGAAGACATTTTGGGGTCTATTTTGCAAACTTGGGTTATAGGCCAGGTATTTGATATTAGAGAATTAATGCTAATTTTCTGAAATATGTTACTATATGTAGGACAAAATATTTTTACAAGTCGCACAAAACAGTGTTTATAGGTGAAGTATTATGTTATCTGTAATTTATAAATGTTTCAATAAAGTTTTTTAAATATAAAAATTATATATATATACATATATAAATATGAGAAATGTGTGTGCACACACATAGACAAAGCATGTAGGCCAAATGGTAAGAAAATTCGGAATCTAAGGGGTGGAAATACAGGTTAACTCTGTGGGTTAAAAAAAAAGCATTATACAAAGTTAAAATTCAAAATGAAAAAAAGCATAGCAATAACTAGCTAGTGCATTACAGTAAATGTCCAACCCAAAGCACAAACGCTCAGTGGCACATACTGTGTGATTGTTGATCTTGACGTCCTCCTCATACTTGGAACAGGCAACAGCCCGCTCCTGTCCTTTGATGACTGTCCCATGTCTGGAGTACTCTACGTAGTCCTCGGTCTGAGCTAAAAGTAGTTCAGCTGGAGGAGCATCCAGGTGTTCTTGGCCACCATACTAAAAAGAAATTGGGCATTATTAAAGAAATCATAACAAGGAAGAGCACTCTTATCTTTACTGAAGGGTTATTCCCAAACATTATTAAAGAAATCATAACAAGGAAGAGCACTCTTATCTTTACTGAAGGGTTATTCCCAGATAGACAAAAGGAACATTCTTTGTGAGGCTTTGTCTTACAAAAAAAGTGAACACACACACACACACACACACACCCAAAACCATTTAAAAATGCCAACGCATTTTTATAAACAAAAGCAGTCTCCTGAGTTATTCTTCTGCTCAGGGTGGTAGGTCAGACAGAGGTCCTAAATTCCTCCTGTCCCTGTATGAATAATATTTTGCTGCATGACCCGACCGCTCCTCCTATTAAGACATGGACTCATCCTACTTGCTTTGCCCAATTGGCAAATGGAAAGCATGATGCAAGCAAACACCTGAAAAGCATGTGTGCATTAGGGCATCCTTTCTTCTGCTAGTCTCTGAGACTACCATGGACAAGAGGGGCAGGAGGGCTAGTCAGCTGAGAGGAGTATTTATGGTGCTGAAATGACTATTAGAGGTGACAATCTCTTGGGTTTGGACAAATAGCCTGATAACTGCTAGAGGCATCTCAGATCATCCCACAGCTGAGTGGGCCCACACTAGGAGACCCAGCTGACATACAGAATCATGAGAAATGATGTTTATTCTAAGAGACTATATTTTGAGATGGTTTGTTTTGCTGTAAAAGCTAACGACTTTCTGATTAAGCTCCCTAATTTTGGGTTGATGCCTCCCTTTGGAACCCTAGTGGTGAAGTAGTTAAGCCCTCTGCTCCTAGCTGGTGGTTCAAACCCATCCTGGTCTTCTGTAAGAGACCAATGTGGTAGTCTGCTTCTGTCGGGATGACAGCCTTGGAACCCTGCAGAACGGCTGTACTGCCCCACAAGGTCACTATGAGGTAAAGTAGACTCCACACCAATGGGTTGGTTTTGGCTGGAAGTTGCATATATTATAAAATATAAGAGGCCTGTGAACATTAAGAAAATGTCTAAAAACTGAATAAGACAATGGAAAGAAAGGAATAATCCTCGTGGTGTAAAAGGGAATGTTTGTTATTTCATTCCAAATGCAAAACAAATGCCTGTTACCTAGTAACTGCTTTCAATATCATTCTTCTCGAAGCATTTTTGTCAAAATTACCTTTTCCAGGATGCCTTCTTTCTGCTGTTCTTTGAAATCTTCCTTCTTAACTTTGAAGGATCTATACAACAGTTCGAGTTTTGTAGGATCTGCCTGCAGATGCACTTCCGATCCCTTGTCATAGGCTTCCCAAGCAAACACTAGGGTAATGAAAAACATCCAAATGAGTGGCCAGTTACACCCTTCTTGAAAACCTGCTTAAAACAGATTCCAGTTATCTTATGAACTGATGTAAAAATGTCTTAATATAAGAACGAGCATTACGTACATTGTGTCTGAGCCATGGAAATGGTATCTCCTGTGTAGCGGACAAAGTTATCTCCTGCATAGCTAACTCTGTAAAGACGAATAAAAACCAAGTTTCAGACGAACCGATTAAGGAAAGTTCATGCTTTTGCTACCCAATCACACATGAAGTTCATCTGATTAAGATTTAGTTTTTTTTTTTTTGATTAAGATTTAGTTTTATGCTTGCCGTCTTCCCTATCTCATCTCGAGCAACAATGTAACTGACACTTACTCATCTGGATTCTTTCCCGCGTTGGCATAGGGGTTCTCCCGCATCGCTCTCGTTTTGGGGTCATAGTAAGCAGAATTTGGATCTAAATTCCGCAAATACTAGAAGAAAAAAAGGTTTAAAGACCGCATTAATGTTTACTTATAGCAAAAAGATTTTAATGGATTGGTAGGACGTGCTGCTCAGGATATGTTAAATAGGTGTATGGGATACAGATGACAATATTTAATCTTGAAATAATTTTGTCAGTCAGTAAAATTTAGACTGAAAAGATGAATGTCTTTTCAAATGTTTTCAAACAATTTTCAAATGTTGAAAATCTTTTCAAATGTATGTTAGGCTGACAAGACTTACTTTTGCAATATCTTCTCTGATTCTCAGATTTCGGACAGTAATTCGTCTTTTAGAGTCAAAATTCTGCCCTGGCATGTCAATATCATCAGCATATTTGTCTTCATCTTCATCTTCGCTATTATGTTCTTTTTCCTGAGAAGACAAAGAGAGGGGCATCTATTAAGAAAAAAGCTCAACATCTCATTCTTGTTTTCCTTTCCACCAAGCCATTCATCGCTTATATTACTTAAAGCTCCAGGTCAAGCATTTATTCATGCCAGCCATCAAAAATCTAATGAACGCCTATGTACAATACATATTTCTTACCATCTGAGAGTTTGGTTCTTCTTCTCCCCACGGGTGTTTTGGAGAATTCTGCATCGTGAAAGAAGAAAAAGAATTTGTAATCTTATTTATTAACTGAATCAATTGATTACTTAATACTTTAAAAACATATTTAATTCTACCATAACAAATTCTCATATTTCTGTTGTAATGAGAACTGAAGTTCTGAATACAAGTATGATATCCCGAGTAATTTTATTAGACTATTTACAAAGCCAGAGAATTTCTACAGAATTTCAATGGCCCAAGACTATCCCTTATGAGATAAGGGGATGATGAAGATAGTCAATAAGAAGCCCTGGTGGCACAATGGTTAATCAACCAGCTGCTAACATCAAGGTTGTAGGTTCTACTCTGTCATACAATGTTTGTATGCCTTGGAATCAGCTTGACTGCATATTAACAGCAAGATAAAAGAATGAGTTAATAGGTCAATTATATAAAGATGTATGTACAAGAATGTGATTTATAATATTGTCTCCAGTAGCACAAAATAAGGGGGAAATCTATTTCAACAATAGGGGCATGGTAGTATAATTAATGACCAATAACAGAACACTGAGTAACCATTAAAAGTGATCTTAACAAAAAAGAACTACATAAATGGAGAAACATACTATGCCATGGATAGGAAACTAAGCACAATTAAAAAGTCAGTATTATTCAAAATGATCTATAAATAATTTATTCTAAGTCCAAATTCCAACAGCATTCTTTTAACAAAATGAAAAAACTAATGTCCAATTTTATATGGAAAGGAGAAGTCTTCCATAGATGAGCATCACTGAAGAACAACAAATATGAGGCCTCAGACTGATTACACAGCCTGGTACTAGTAAGAGGCATACACTTAGACCATGGAATAGAACCGAGAACCCAGAAATCCATCCAGCTATGGAAAGTTGATCTCTTACAAAGACTTGAAACTCATTTGATGGAGGAAGAGAAAGACTTTTTAACATATGATGCTGACAAAACTGGATATTCATTTGCAGAAAAGTAAAACTGGATCCATACCTCACAACAACATACAACAAATCCATAATAGATCAAAGGCCTAAATCTCAAACCTAAAAGTATAAAGTGCATTGAAGAAAACATAGGGGCAAAATTGGGGCCCTAATTTATGGCATACACAGCCTATCAAAGAAACTAAAAAAATACACAAACAATAGAAGATAAACTAGATAAATGGACCTCCTAAAAATTAAAGCATGCGCATTAAAATACAAAGGGAGCTTAAAGATTGAGAAACACTTTTGTCATTGACATTATCTGACAAGGGTCGAAGAACTAAAATGTGTAGAACACTTCATCAATAACAAGACAAATAATTGAATTAAAAACTGAGCAGACATGAATAGTTAATTCTCCAAAAGGAGATTCTGAAGGTCAAGAGATCATGTAAAGATGCTCATGATCATTATTCATTAGAGAGATACAAATCAAAACTACAAGATGCCATGTGACCCAGAAATCTCAAAGAAATAGAAAACTGATCAAAGAAACAATGAGCAACAAATGTTGGTGGGTTTGTGGGGAAACTGGAACTCCTATACATTGCTGGTGAGATTAAAATGGTGTAAGCCTATTGAAAATAGTATAGTGCTTCCTGAAAAAGCTAGAATGGAAATATCACATGACACAACAGTCTCACTCATATAGAAATAAGAGCTGTGACATGAACAGACACACACATATTCATGTTCTTTGTAGCATTACTCACAATTACAAAAAGACAGAAGCAACCCGGTGTCCATCAGTGTATGACTGGATAAACAAACTATGTTACAAACATGCAATGGAATAATAAATAATTATCAAGTAACGATGAATCTGTGAAATATCTTATGAAGTGGATAAGTCTAGAAGATAGTATGCTAAATGAAGTCAATAACAAAATAACAAGTATCATTACATCATCAGAAATTATAAAAAGTCAGAAAGAACAGGTGTAGCCACAGAATGGAACATTCTTTGAGGGTTATCAGTGATGGGGGCAGGGTACAGGAGGAAGAGAGAATCACTAAGGAGATAGAACAGATGTATTAATTCTGTTGAAGGGGAAGTCAGTACACACCATGAAATACAAAGCATAGCCATACACAACCTGACCAAAGAAAAGGAAGATATTGAGAAGTACGCAAGAATAAAGGACAATGATAGGAAATACTACTAACATATACAATCCTCCAATAACACTACGAAGAATCTGTCAGTGGATCATAAGCAGATAAGCATGTTAAATAGCTGTGGGAGGTCATTGGGATTAAACCCTTGAGCATACATAGGCAAAGCTGTGGTTATTTCGAACATATTGCACGTTTATAAACATAATAGAGTACCAGGGGGTACGGTTATGAAAACATCTTAGATATAACAAACACCTCACAGGACTGAGCTACAGGGCTTGAAGACTGAGGAAGAGATATCCAGATTAAGGTGACCAGACGTCTCGCTTTTGTCGGGACAGTCCCGATTTTTGGCGTTTTAAAAAAGTCCCGATTTTTGGAAAGAATGCACGACAAGCTAGGGAACGGTCTATTTGTTCCATATAGACCAAATTTTGAATTAAGAACCTCCCCCACCCCGGTCAATGGTGTCACACTTTAAATCTGGTCACTTTATTCTAGATAACTGGCATAACATAATGCATACAAATAACATTCCAAAATACATAAAAATTAAAACTATACAAAAATAACATTCAATATCCTATCCTGGGCTAGAGGAAAGGAGAATGCAAGAAACCAAAGAATCAAAGAAGCCATTAGTCCAAGTGGTTCTCAACCTGTGGGTCGCAATACCTTTGAGGGTCAAACGACCCTTTCACAGGGGTCGCCCGATTCATAACAGTAGCAAAACGACAGTGATGAAGTAGCAACAAAAATAATTTTATGGTGAGCGGGGTGTCACCCCAACATGAGGAACTGTATGAAAGGGTGCAGCATTAGGAAGGTTGAGAACCACTGAACTAGTCCAAAGGAACATAACAGGAAGTCTGGGTTAGAAAGGGAGAAAAATGTACAACAAAAAAGACCAGACTTATTAGTTTGACCGAGGTGGTAGGAACTCTAAGACTACTGCCCTAGATCATACTTCCAACTTGTAACTAAAGCCACTCCCAGAGGCCATGGCTAACCTCCGACTGGTCTGTAAATATTAACACCTATGAGGACTACACTCCATAGAGCAATCAACTACACAATATCAAAGGGGCACCATTCACCCAAAAGCCTATAGGAGAAGGTGGAGAGAGACAGGGGAATCAGGGAGCAAGTGAGGGGAGAGTTAACAGATTGAGAGGATACAAATCAATGTCATGGAACAGTCTGTATATGAATTATTCATTGGTAAACTAATTTGCCATGTAAACTTTTACCTAAAGCACAACACAATGTTAAAAAGAAAAGTGATCGTATGTGAGATGCTAGAATATGCATGAGAATTTGCGACCTTTTTTGAAAAATAAAATGGGGGTGGGAATAAGAATATGTATTTATATTTACAAAAATCCTAAATAACTGCATAAGCAAAATGAGAAAGTTATTGGGGTGGGGACATGCAGAGCTAGGGTGAACAAAAATAGGAGGGAAAATTGATCACATAATTTCTTAAATGGTTTCTGACATATCAACAATGTGCAATTATCTAAAATTAAATAATGCTACAGCTCTATATTTAGTGACTGAGAAAAAGGTTCTCAGAGCATTACATCCAAGGGGCTTTACAAAGTTGATGGAAAAATTGAATGAAAATATATTAGACTTTTTAATGAACTTATTGAAGATACTTTGTGTAGTTCAATTAGAAGAACAAAGAACATCTTTGCATATGATCGTTCTGGCTTCTGGAACATTTTTTGATGGGTCAATTTAATAATTTAAATTTTAAAGGAGCATATAAATTCTTTATGGCACTATCCTTTCCAAAATAGCTCCATCAATTTATATTCTGTGAGCAATTTAAAAAATGCCAATTTTACTCTTCATCCTGAACGGCTCTTCTAAAATCTTTTCCATTGGAAAGATAAAAATGTAACTATTTGTTTTCATTTCTCAGATTACCACGAGGTCAGCCTTTCTAAAGCTGGCTGCTTTCATTACTTACAGCCTGTTCCACTAATTTTCCTGAGGCCAATTCTTCTTGCAGCTTTTGGGCTTTCAGTGTTCGTTTTGCCTTAGGAAAAAGCAGAAACATAAAATTTACTTACAATATTCAGATGGCCATTTAACTTTATATTTATGTAAAAAGAATAACTTTACTACTTTCAGAAAAGGTCACTGTCCAATAATAACATCCTAAGACTCCTCTAGCTCTAAGATCTAGGATCATCTTGGCATTTTCCCTAGAGCAAAGGTGAGACAGGGAAGGACAGGGAAGCTAAATGAAGGTAAACAGAACAAACAGCATGAAAAGGCTGACAAGAATCAACCCTTTCCCCAAGATCCAGGACCGTCTAGACAACAAGGTTGTAAATTTCTGTTTGGACCAAACAGTTAACCTAGATTGAGACGGGCAGCATCCGGGGTTAACCTCATAGAACACGCCCTCGCCTAAAAGGGGCAGCAGCCACCTGCCTCCAGATGACTGAGTCCTTCCTGGCAGGCCCAGGTTACTACTGGTCTCAGTGTTCAAGAAAGGACAAAACCCAGATCTTGATGTGAAACCTCAGGAATTTTAAACCTTACATGTAATTTAAGAATAATGCAGTGTGACTAGTTTTAAATAAATGGGAGTAAGTAGGTGAAATCCTAACAGAAAACAATAAGGCTGAATTGAAATAAATTTCAGTTCTCTGGAACAAGTGCTGTATGTGACAAGTAAGAGAGGTTCATGGGCAAGATACAAAAAAGTTAACAAGGGCAAACAGCCCAAAGCTGCAGCTACTAAGCTGTTTTCATGTTTCTAGAAACTTTTCCAATCTTAGTATGAACATAAAGAACCTTTAAAGAATCAAACAGAAATAAATGGCTGCAAAATAGGGCTGGCGCATTTTTATCTTCACTATTCAAGTAGGCCTCCTACAACTAAGATAAGGAGGGTTGGTGGCATAGCGGGTTACGGATTGGCAAGCTAACTGGAAGGTCCGCAGTTTGAAACCACCATGTTTAAAATGTTTTAAGATTTAAAAATAGTTTTTACATTAGAAATACAACAAGAGTGCATATTTAAGGGTAGTAGAAAATCAAAGGATTTTACTTACCAGATCAACTTTGGCATATTCTTCCACAATTGTCATGTGTTCTTCCGGATTGTAGCCATTCCATCGATCCCTCTTGCCATCGTAGTCAAAGGTCAGCTGAGGCTGGAAATGTTCATCTGGAGCTATATTAGTGCCAGTAAATTTTGCTCCCACTCGCCTAGGTCTCTGAAAAGCCAATGCAGAATTGATTTTTCTTAAGTACTGGCAACCCACAACATAATTTCATAAAACTTTTATACTCTTAGCAGAAACATACCATAGGACAACTCAAGTTATCACTTAATCTTCAGGAAAAATGTTTTGTTAGTAAAGCAAGCCACTCAAATTATTTTTTATTGAAATTGTGCCAGTAATTTACCTAAATAAAACTAAGTTTTCTGACAAGAAGGAAACAGATTCTGGTAGCAATTTCCAAAATTCTCAAAGACTAACCTCAAAGCAGTCTTTCTTTTTGTGTGTCATGGCCCCACAATTTTCACATGCTCCCTTTCGATACTTTGTAGTGATGGAATTCTACACGTGGATATAAAGAAAAGCATTTTATTTAGCTGAAGTTAGAAATAACATTGGCTGTCATGAGAATAATATCTAACGAAACTATTTATTCCTTAATGAGAAAAACCAGTTAGAAGTCGCTACACAATTTATAAACAGGGAAGTTTAAGGATTTAAATCTATGAAAGAAAATGCAGAACTCAAGTAGCACACACCGGATAACAATATTAAGTACGTGATCTGAAGTCTCCACACAAACCAGGACAAACTGCCCACGCACCTCTTTGACGCCCCGCTTGTACCATTCTCCAGATGAGCTGTACTGCCTTTGCTTCTCTGGCTGTGGCCTTTGGTGCTTCAATGTAGGTCTTTTTGATGGATCGATATACCACGGCACAGAAGAAATATACTGAGGGATATGAGGGTTGATGTCTCTGTGGGGGGGAGAAAGTAATGTAAGGATAAAGATGGGAAGCAATATTAAAACTGGAATCCAAGTGTGTGCAAGACTGCAGATATAATTATAGTGGGAAGAGGAAGTGGAAATATGAGGGGAATTAAAAAAGTTTTTAGAAAAATTCCATTATCTGTAATTCCATTTTCCCATGAACTTTTTTAAGCCTTTCACAGAGTTGATAACTCTTTAATACAAAACAAACAGACAAACAGGAAGAATGTAGTGTATATTTCCTGGAGTCCCGGTGACAGAATGGTTAAGCATTGGGCTTCAAACTGAAGCCACAAACTATTGCTTGGAGAGAAAGACACGGCTTTCTATTCCTGTAAAGATTTACAGTCCTGGAAACCCACAGAGGTAGTTCTACCCTGTCCTATAGGGTTGCAATTGACTCAATGGCAGTGAGCGAGTTAGTATTACAATTAATAATTTACAACAAGGAAACCAAGAGTAGTAATATAATTACTGAGGGGAAGTAGTAATATAATTACTGAGGGGAAGAGAAGTAAAGGAAGACAGGGCTATTTTGCTAATCACCTAATTTTGTAACATAGCAGGAAGTTACCATATATACTTGAGTATAAGCTGACCCAAATATTAGTCAAGCCACCAAATTTTACCACAAAAATTGCATTAAAAAATGTACTGAAAAAAAAAAAGTGCTGCGAAACTCGACTTATACATGAGTACCTATGGTAATGGATATGTTGAATGATTAATATACTAGTATAAGCATATGATCTGGAAGGATGGAGGTATCCAAGGAGTTCTGGTGACACAGTGGTTACAGTGTTTGGATGTTAATGGAAGGCAAGTGGTTTGAACCCATTAAACTGGGGGTTGGGGCACAGATTCCCAAAGTGGGCACACCCCCACCCTGGGAGTCACTGGAACCAGCCAGGAAAGCTGCAAAAGCAGATATCCACACTTTATCCTGGGTTATGGGCTATAGTACAAATTTTTCATTGCTGGGAGGTGCTGAGTAACAGCCTGTGGGACAGTTCTCATCTATCCTGACAGGGTTGCTGAGCTAGCATTGGGTTTGGTTTGTTTAAGGAATCTCAAACAGAAAACCTCAATGATAGACTTAAATGTACTTATTTCTGGAAAGTCAGATAGGGAGTGGAAAGGGACCACTGATTTATTATTATAATAATAAAAAAATGATGTAAATGGTAAAGATACTGCCTTATAGGACAGAGTAGCACTCCCTCTGTAAGTTTCTAGGGTTGTAAATCTTCATAGGAACAAAAAGTCTCATTCTTCTCCCCCAAAGGTAAGGATATCATCTCGACAATGTAAAGAATGGGGAATTTTGATGAAGTAGACACGAGTTTTGAATAAACAATATGCAGAAAAAGTAGAACACTTACTTTCCCTCTTCATCAACTTCTGCAGGAGCGTTACCCAGTTTCCGCTGTTCTTCCAGCTCCTTCTTCTTTCTCCAGTCCTCTCTGGTCATCTTCTTTGGTTCCTCCAAACTCAGTTCTTTGGACCCAGACAAGGGAGCAGCATTAACTGCTTCCACAGCTGCAGCCGACATGGTTACTTGTTTCCTCTGAGGGGAAAAAGTTTACCATATAAACTAGGCTTTCATGAGTTCATCATATAAACTATTCAAAATACATTCATATTGTGGGTTACACATAATGTTCTTATTCTTCCAAATCTGGAAGAGAAAGGTATCTTCTCAAGAGACATTTCTATATGCTTTTAACATAATTTCTTCCTTGCTCTCAATTTATATGTGAACACAGACATACACAATTTATTTTCTTATACATATTGACTCATATATGCCTGATTTTCTCTCTTTCTGTATATGGTCTCAAGTTTTTGTGTCACACAATTGCTTTTGGAGAGTGGGGTGGGAGGACTGTTTATTGCAGTTTGGATACAAGTTTACAGAGCACTTGGTTTTCCATTCAATAATTTATATATTTTACTTTGCGACACTGATTGCAATCCCCTAAATGTAACAGCACTCTTCTCACTTCCTTCCGCTCCTGAGGGGCCTGTGGCCGGCTGTGCTGAGGAGCACATTTCTCCCTGGGTTAGTATTCCATACTATGTATGAGAGTACAAGGGGTCCCAGAGAACTCCTCTTAACCTACTCTCTGCTCGGCACTTCAAGAAAGAGTTATCAGTAATCCTTGGTGAAGTGGTGGGTTATGCATTGGGCTGCTAATTGCAAGGTCAGTACTTCTAACCCAGCAGCTGCTCCATAGGAGAAAGATAAATATTCCCCATAAATATGTACAATTATGGAAACCAACAGAGGCAGTTCAACTCTGTCCTATAGGGTTGCTATGCGTTAAAATTGACTTGCTGGCAGTTTGAAGAAAAAAACAAAAAAACATAAAGGATCAAGGTCTTAAACCCAATGGACAGTTGTCAACTCTGTTCCTTCTGATTAGGTATAATCGTATTGCTTGAGCTATGTGCTACCATACCCTCCTGGTTCTTCTTGTACTTCTCTTGCTGCTTCTCTGTCTCCTTTGCATGTTCAACAACTTCTGCTTAGCTATTTAATGTTGAATTCCTCAAAGCTCAGACCCAGGTCTCTTTTCTCACTCGAAATTCTATTAGTGGACAAGGTTATCTATACTCGAGGTTTCAGCACCAGCAATATCTCACTATGTCTCCTCAATTTATTTCTCTACTCCAGCCTTCTCATATTCAGGTTCACATACCCAACTGCTTACTTGTCATCTCCATACAGTGGTCTTAGAGACACCTAAACTCAATTGGTCCTTGTGCAAATTCACAACCTGCCCCCTGAAATCTGGCCCTCTTCCAATGCTATCTGTCTAAATGAATGTCAATATCCACCTATTTACACATGGTTCATTCACACTTCATATCTATTTCATTACTGAGGCTTGTTACTTTCATCTCCTGAACAGCATTCATATTCAGCCAATTGATTTTCAATGCTATTACCTTGTGTAACTTATTACTTTAGTCTCCTCTATTCTCCACATTATGATAGTGTTATTTTTGAGCAAACTGTGCACCCAGACTAGCTATCATTCCAAGCAATCAACATTAAAGTCATCAAATCCTTTAAAATACATTTTAAAAAGTATTTTATACTTCTTAGGTCTAGTTATATTACAATTGCTCTATAGCCATAAGTAGCTACTATATCAGACAGTGTCTCTCCAATTGCTTATTATAATTTTCCTGTGAAATATGCTTTCTCCAGTCATTGGATCTTTAAACAAGCTTTAAACATCAATGGAATTGCTCAATGACTGAAAGTCCATGAGACCACTCAAAGGGGTTCTATGTCTGATACACAAAACCTAAATTACAGTCTAAATTGGGAAGAGGGACAATAGCAGACTTAACCATCTTCACTCTAATACACTGAAGCATTATGACAAATGTTATTAATATCATTTATAGGCACAGAAATGGGTTCAGCAACTATCCTAAGAACACATGCTAATAAGAAACAGCAGCATTTAAAGCCAAATTGGATTCAAAGTCGGTTCTTTCATCCACTTTGTTTTTCTCTTTCTATATTGCATTGCCTCCTGGGACAGTAATATTAAAAAGTAAAGCAGAATAAAGTATTGCAGTCACCAAGATGTATGTATTAGGATTTCACTCTGTTCAGGGTCTAGATGTTACCTTCTGCAAGTAATAATAATAGCTCTCTTTTACTGAACACTTACTGGAAGGCTAAAAACACAGTCTAGCATTTTACTTGTATTATCTCATTTGATCTTCATAGTGGTTCAGGAATGTACTATTTACAGTCCTTTTTAATGTAAAGAAACTGAAAAGGCATTTTTCTAGAAAGGAACTTTGCATAGTTTGTCAATCTGGATCCACTCTGTACGAAAAAGATGGGGGCTCCCTGCTCCTCTAAAGACTTACATAGAGTACTCTCTCAATGCAAGAACACTTTGTTCTATTTAACTGGCACTCCAGGATGCTCACCTTCCCAATGCGATCACTGAAGACAAAGTGGGTGCATAAGCAAATGTGGTGAAGCTGATGGAGCCAGCTATCAAAAGATATAGCGTCTAGGGTCTTAAAGACTTGAAGGTAAACAAGCGGCCAGCTAGCTCAGAAGCAACAAAGCCCATTTGGAAGAAGGACACCAGCTTGTGTGATCACAAGGTACCAAAGGGATCAGTTACCAGGCATCAAAGAACAAAAAATCATATCAATGGGTGCTCACCACCCAGATAAGATTGCTGAAGAGAAATGGGTCCATGAGCAAATGTGGTAAAAGAAAGCTGATGGTACCCGGCTACCAAAATACATAGCATCTGGGGTCTTAAAGGTTTGAAGGTAAACAAGCAGCCATCTAGTTCGTAAGCAACAAAGCCCACATGGAAGAAGCACACCAGCCTGTGTGATCATGAGGTATTGGAAGGGATGAGGTATCAGGCATCAAAGAACAAAAAAAAAAAACCATTATCATTGTCAATGAGGGGGAGAGTGGGGTGGGGACCCAAATCCCATCTGTAGGCAACTGGACATGCCCTTACAGAAGGGTCGAGGGGAGGAGATTAGCCAGTCAGGGTGCTGTGTAGCATCGATGAAACATACAACTTTCCTCTAGTTCCTAAATGCTCCCCCTCCCCACCTCCTACATCATGATCCCAATTCTACCTTATAAATCTGGCTAAACCAGAGGATGTACACTGGTACAGATAGGAATTGGAAACACAGGGAATCCAGGACGGATGGTCCCTTCAGGACCAGTGATGAGAATGGGATACTGGCAGCGCCGAGAGAGGATGGGGTAGAAAGGGGGAACCGATTACAAGGATCTACATATAACCTCCCTGGGAGACGGACAACAAAAAAGTGGTTGAAGGGAGAAGTCGGACAGTGTAAGATATGACAGAATAATAATTTATAAATTTCAAGGGTTCAAGAGGGAGGGGGAAGCGGGGAGAGTGGGGGAAAAATGAGGAGCTGATGCCAGGGGCTTACGTGGAGAGCAAATGTTTTCAGAATGATGAGGGTAAAGAATGTACAAATGTGCTGTATGCAATGGATGCATGTATGGATTGTGATAAGAGTTGTATGAGCCCCCAATAAAATGATTTTTTTAAAAAAAGGCTTACATAGGTCGCTGTGGGTCAGAATTGACTCGACAGCCACGGGTAGGTTATCAAATTGGGTATCGGAAGAATCCTTCCCCCTAGTTGGGGAGTGCTGAGGCTTCCCGAGGGCGTATTCATATCACCCCAACAAAGGACAGACTAAGTTGTTTCGGGTTCTTCTCTAATGGGGCAGGTATTAATGTCTCGGAACCAAGTCTGAGGACTTGGACTTGGAAGGAACCAGGACAGTGGTTTCCTTCACCGTCAGGGCCTCCGTTCATCTCTCAACCTAAGCGTTCAGCCCCAATAGCGAGTATGTATGTAAGCCGGTCTTCGACCCCTATTACAAGGATCCCCAGCTTAATGCTCCACGTTCTCAGAATATTTACTTACCTAATCCCGCAGAAGCCGACCCCCAAAACCAGACGACGCAAGAAAAAGTCAACTACACAATGTTTACTTCCGGAGTCTCACAATCTCCCAGCAGCCACTGCGGCAACTTCCGGACATTCCGCACATGCGCATTCGTTGCAGGCAAGCTTACTCTGTAGATGTCGCGAGATTTGGAGCCGTAGCTGTCGCGCTATTACCTTGGTTGGAGGTGAGGCTTATCCGTTTCTCTTACCTGTGAACTTTAGAATTGGTTAGATTTTTTAGCTGGAACCTCAGATTCTTAGGGCTGTAAGGGAGATAAATGAAAAACAATATCATGAGCAGACGGAAGTTCAGAGATTTTAAGCCTCAGTAGAAAACTATGAAGTCAATGAGGAAGTTCCTGATGTATTTTTAAAAGGCTAAAATTAGTAGTAGTAATTAGTTGCCAACTACTGTATGAATTGCGGAGGTTGTGAACACAAGCGTCCATTTACAGTATAACACGATATCGAGTAAGAAAGACCAAGATAATTACTCAAATAATCAATAGTTGTACAGAAAGCCCTGTTTCAGAATCTGTATTTTATCACTGGAAAGAAATACTATTGAATGGTTTACATTTGGGGAAGAAAATGACGATATCCTTGTCTTAGGGTGTACATATAAAATGTTAACTGAAAAATACAGTTATTTTGTTTAATTTCCATTTTTATATCCGCTCTAGATACTTTTCATTTTTCTAAAATAAATATGTACTCCTTCCTAAAAGTCAAATATATCAAAGGTACATCCCTACCTCAAAGACTGCAAAATAGCAGATGAAGGAAGAAACGTGCCAGACTAGCCTGAAAGTATTTAGTCTATGAATCTCTTATACTTAAAAAAGTCTCTTTAAATAATTTCTGAATTTTGCTTCAGGGTGTTGAGACCTCACTGCTGTTGAATCGATTCCAACTCATAGCGACCCTACAGGACAAAGTAGAATTAATTGCCTCTGTGGGTTTCCAAGACTGAATGAAAGTAGGCGGCCCCATTGTTCTCTCACAGATTGGCTAGTGGTTTTGACCTGGCTAGTGGTTTTGAACTGCAGCCCAACGTGCAACCACTATGCTAGTTGCCAGGGCTAATCACCCTCAATTAGGCACACACGAGGAAACTCAACCGCCAGAAGAGTCGTAGAAGGTGCTGGAGAAGTAGGAGCAGGTAGGAATGAGTCTTACATGTTTTGAGTTCCTGCTGGAGGATCTGAAGAGGGTCTGGGAAAGATGAGCCAGTGAGAGACTGGTTCTCATTTATAATGCAGGGTTAGGTAAACTCGTGTCTTAGTGAAAAACAACAAATCTACAAGCCTACTTAAATATAGTTTTTGTTAATGGCAAAAGGGCATTTTGTAAAATGGGGAAACATAAGCAAGACACTCTTGACAGTGTTCTAAGGAGCTCAGAATTATAGGTTGATATAGGCAAAGACCCCAAAGAAGGGGTGAATTTGCAGTATTTCTAATGAGACAATATTTACAAAGCTGCAGGTGGCAGGATCATGGTTGACCACCTGTCGTGAAATAAATTTTCTTGCAGTGACTCTTCTATCCATAATTTGTGGAACTCCTACTTGATGACTGGGTGGGAGCATGCAAATAAAGTGTAGAGGATTCTAACTTGGGGACGGGTTAGTTTTGCCAGTCTGCTGGGTTTGAAAGTGAGCCTGTCTCTGAAACAGGAAGAGAGAATCCCACAACCAGTGGAAAGAAGAGCCACCAGATTCCTGAGTGAACGGCAGCCCCAGAGGCACCAGAGCCAGATGGAGACAAAGCAGAGAAGCATGGCTGAGACAGTGAGGCAGACAGAGGACTTGAAAAAGTAAAGCTGAATGCCTCCAGGCAGGAAGCTGGCTGGCTGAGTGGGGTACCCTTTGGGCATTTATCAGGTCTAAAAGGAACTGTAAACACTTGCCAGAGCAGGGCAGAGGCCAGGGTGCTGTGTGGCTGACCAGCTGAGGACCAGAGAGAGACATGCATGCTGGCATGGCTCAGAAGAGGTACTAGTGTTGACAGAAGGATTGTACCCTTATTGATCATACAATTATGTCATAGAACTCAATAGTTCAATCATATCAAGAAGAGTTGTAAAATCATTACCACAATTTTAGAACATTTTCTTCTTCCTTGTACTCATTGTTATTAGTCCATTTAAAAAAACAGTTGCAAAAATATACACAACAAAACATTTTCCAATTCAGAAACTTCTACATGTATAATTCAGTACCATTGATTATACTCTTGGTATTGTACAACAATTTATTTTTAATCATTTTATTGGGGGATCTTACAGCTCTTATAACACACCATACATCCAGGTGTCAAGCACATTTATACATATGTTGCCATCATCCTTTTCAAAAAGTTTTCTTTCTACTTGAACCCTTGTTATCATCTCCTCATTTTTTCCCTCCCTCTGCCCCCTCTCACCCTCATGAACCCTTGGTAAATGTCTCCCTTCACCCATGTTTCTGTTGTTTGTCACCCTGGGTGGGTGGGTGGGGGGTTATGCATTGATCATTGTGATCCGTTCCCCTTTTCTCCTCCACATTCCCCCTACCCTCATGGTATTGCTACTCGAATTATTGGTCCTGAGGGGTTTATCTGTCCTGGATTATGTGTGCCTAGTGCTCTTATCTGTACCCGTGTACATGATCCAGTCTAGTCGGATTTGTAAGGTAGAACTGGGGTCATGATAGTGGAGGGGTAGAAGCATTAAAGAACTAGAGGAATGTGGTATGTTTTGTCGGTGGTATGTTTTGGTTGGCTCATCCCCTCTTTGTGACCTTTCTGTGAGGGTATGTCCAATTGTCTATAGATGGGCTTTGGGTCTCCACTCCACCCCACCCTTCGTTCCCATCAATATGATTATTTGTTTTGGGTCTTCTGATGCCTGATACCCGGTCCTGTTGACACCTCATGTCTCTCTCTGGTCCTCAGTCTCTCTGGTCCTCAGCTGGTCAGCCACACAGCACCCTGGCCTCTGCCCTGCTCTGGCAAGTGTTTACAGTTCCTTTTAGACCTGATAAATGCCCAAAGGGTACCCCACTCAGCCAGCCAGCTTCCTGCCTGGAGGCATTCAGCTTTACTTTTTCAAGTCCTCTGTCTGCCTCACTATCTCAGCCATGCTCCTCTGCTTTGTCTCCATCTGGCTCTGGTGCCTCTGGGGCTGCTGTTCACATAGGCTGGTGTTACAAACATTATTGGTAATCTTTTCCAAATTATCCCTCCACCATTAGCATAAACTCAATGCCTCCTAAACAAAACTCTTTCTCCTTCACCCATGATAACCACTGGTCAAGTTGTTGTTTTTTTTTAAAGTCAGAGAAGAAAATTCTGACCCAGAACAAGCAAGAAATATTTAAGCCTAGATCAAATTCCAGTGGTTGACTCCTGACTTCTTGTGACTTGTTAACTTCCCTAATCCCCAAAGTCACTAGTAATGTCTGATTTCTATGCGGGCCGTTGTAACGCAGTATGAGACCCAGTAGAGATGTAGCATGCCTTTGGGAGGGGTGATAGCTGGTGTCAGAGCAGGGTAAAGAAGGATGGAGAGTGGAGGCATGCCTGACCGTGCTGCATGGGCTTCATCTTTGGGCAGATGTGGACTTTCATTCCCCTGCCCCCTTGTGTCGCTGGAGGAAGTTAGGCACCATTTCCTTACCGGATTTTCCAGGAGTGACCTCTTTGCAAAAAAGAAAAGAAAAGGGAGTTTTAGGTGACAAAATATGGGTGACTATATATGGAAATAATAATCTATAACTTATCAAGGGTTCATGAGGGAGGGAGGGCAGAGGAGAGGGGGAAGAAATGGGGAGCCGATGTCAGGGACTCAAGTGGGAAGAGAATGCTTTGAAAATGATGATGGCATATGTGCAAATGTGCTTGACACACTGGGTGAATGTATGGATATAATAATGAGAGATAATAATAAGAGATGTAAGAGCCCCCAATAAAAGTATTTTTAAAAATTTGCCTGACTATTAGTTTGGAATACTTATAAGATTGTCTTTTTTTAAGAGCACAGTGTGTGTGTGTGTGTGTGTGTGTGTGTGTGTGTGTGCTTAAAAAAGGGAGGGCATAACTTAGCCACTAAACTTACATGTTTAATTCTGTGTCTTAACACATCAGCTACTTCTAACTGCAAATATGAAATAAGCAGAACAGGATGGAAGGACCACATTTTTTCGTAAAAGCTGTTTTTATCTAGAAGAATTTGTGCAGAGATGCCAGGCTGCATTGTAAAACAAAGTTGTCACAAAATTGGAGTTATTTAGGACAAGAAGAGAATTTGACTTATACCTCTGCCAAAAGTCTTTAGCCTTGTGAAGATCTTAGTTGTTTGTCTTTTTTTAAAGCATTTTATTGGGGCCTCATACAACTCATCATAATCCATCCATCATTGTGTCAAGCACATTTGACCATTTGTTGCCATCATCATTTTCAACATTTTCTTTCTACTTGAGCCCTTGATATTAGCTACTCATTTTCCTCCCCACTCCTTCCCTCACGAACCCTTGATAATTTATAAATTATTATTATTTTTTCATGTCTTACACTGACCAATGTCTCCTTTCACCCACTCTTCTGTTGTATGTCACCCAGGGAGGAGGTTATATGTAGATCATTGTGATAGGTTCCCCCTTTCTCCCAAGATCTTAGTTTTAAAGTGCTCTTCCTTACTCACATGCATGCAAATGCTGGCCACCTGCATAAAAGCGAGGAAGCTCTAATGGAACAAGTACAGCCAGAATGCTGCTTACAAGCAAGAACGATGTTTTCTCAATATACAATTGCTCTTTGATCTAAAGCCCTGTCTTACATATACATGAGTGACCTGGATTTGTTTCTCTAGCCATCCGGTCTAACACAGACATTGCTTGGTAACGTGGAGGGTCAACAAGGAAGTGAAAGCCCCTCGATGAGACTGACGGACACAGTGGTGCAACAGTGGGCTCCAACATAAGAACAGTTATGAGGAGGGTACAGGACCAGGCAGTGATTTGTTCTGTTGTACATAAGGGTCACTATGAGTCAGAACCGATTAGATGGCACCTGGCAACAACTTAGCGCTATTGTTTCGTTAAAAGGTGACTTTAGATCACCAGGTTTTTTCTCCCAGGGAGCACCTGGTGGGTTCTAGCCACTGACTTTTCAGTGAGCAGCCTACCAGTGTTCCTTCTAATTAATTTGCCCTTTCCAAATATTATAGTATATTTGTGAGAAAGGAGGGAAAGAAAAGATTTCTTTGTACTCGTTTGAGGTGAAAAAGAGAAAAGTACTGTACATTTCTTAATGGTAAGTTTGGAAAATCTAGATTTTATAAATCATGTTATATAGGCAGTCTCAGGGTTAGAAATGAATGTCATTTGGTACTTGCACTTTAATTTTATATAAATCTACCCTCCAAAACGATGGCAACAACCCTAAAATCCAAAACTCACTACATTTGAGTTGATTTCAACTTAAAGGGATTCTGTAGGTTAGAGTAGAACTACTTTTGGGGTTTTTTCGAGATTATATACCTTGATAGGAGCTGACAGGTGCATCTTTCTCCCGCAGAGTGAGTGACTCATGGGTTCAAATGGCCGATTTTGTGGTCAGCAGCCCACTTTCACTTGCTGCATTCAAATAACAAAAGGTTTTGGGTCATTTTTAGACTAAAACTCCCAAACAAAACCCACTGCCATCAAGTTGATTCCAACTCATAGCAATTCTAAGGGACATGGTAGAACTGTCCTATAGGGTTTCCGAGGAGGTAAATCTTTACCAAAGTAGATGGTCTTATTTTGGTTCCTTAAAGCAGCTGATGGGTATAAATGGCAGGCCTCTCAGCATCTTAATGCATAACCCATGGTGTCACCAGGGCACCTCTTGCATTAATGTAAGTCTAAATAACTTTATGTACCTGTTCCAACTTACCTACAAATTCGACTAAAGATACTTTTCGGACCAGTCTTGTTGGTGACTGCCTGTATGTGTCTGTATACCTTCTTGTGTGCCCTGTAGTTGATTCCTACTCATAGGACAGAGTAAAAGTGCCCCCAAGGGGCCCTAAGTGGTAGATTGTATGGGAGCAGATCACCAGGCCTTTCTTGGGAGCCATTCATGGGTTCCAATTGCTAAGCTTTCCATTAGCAGCCAAGCACTTCACTACTGTACTACCAAGGTTCCTGTGTTTAGAGTTCATGGTTAACCACTACTATACCTTTATTTTAGATTGGAAACAACTTAATTTTCTGATGTTATGTCATTACCATGTAATTCCTTTACTGCACTAGATGTCCCCACTTTTTTTTTGAAGGAAATAGGCTCAATGGGCAAAGCCATCTCCCTTATGGCTGGGTGAGAATTGTTTAGTATTATTTCTGCCCCAATGTTTCATTCTGCAGAAAGCAAAGTGTATGAATTAGATAGCCTATTTTACTCTTTTTAGTGCCAACTCATAGAGGCCCTATAGGACGGCATAGGGTTTGTGAGGCTATACATCTTCATGGGGGACAATGTCATCAGTTTTTTAAGGAGTGACGGATGTGTTCAAAATACCGTTTAGTTAGCAATCCAATACTTAACCCACTGCATCACCAGGGTTCCTTATGTTCCATATATTGATGTCTAATATGGCCCATTCAATAATTTATGTAATTTCAATATTGTAATATAATATCTACTCAATAGCCCATACTTTTGTATGCATTAGAGTTACCTGTTCCCTGGTCAAACATGAAGATGGTCAATCTATTACATCAGCAATTTCTGGGGATGGCCCCACAGCTGATTCCACTTGGTCTGTCTTAAGCCCCATTCTCAAATGAAATACTGTACAGCTGGTACATTTATTTCATTTTGGGGACGAACGGAAATCTGGAAGGACATTTTATTTTGCAAGAGGACAATTGACAAAGTAAAAGTATTAAAAGCATATCTACACAAAGCAAGGGGAAAATGTTGAACTGCGTGCAAATCTCTTATCTCCTATACTACTTTTCATTGGAACAGCCCCATGCGAAGATCACTATGATGAGCCTGGTTTCCCACCACACTTGTACGAAGTTTTTACTTAAAACTGATGAAGCTACTAAAACAAAACAAGAAAACGACTCGGTCTTTTTCTTAATGTATTTTTTCTTGATTTGATTGTCTAGTATTGAAATTTTGGGGTCTTTAAATTCCTGACACTCAAGTGCAACAGCCCACACCTTACATTTCAATTAAAAAAAAAAATCCCCTTCGATCCCTGTATGGGCCACCAAAAAAAATCCCCATTTTACCTGAGGAACAAATTCTTT